TGTGTGTGTGTGTGTGTGTGTGTGTGTGTGTGTGTGTGTGTGTGTGTATATATGTGTGTGTGTGTGTGTGTGTGTGTGTGTGTAATTTATCTTTTTTTTCTGTTTACTCATTTTCGACTAGAGGGGTTGCTCCAATAATTGAAAGGAAAATAGTTTCACATATTCTTTTTCACTCAGAAACGTTTTTGAAAATAAATGGTTAGTACTTTAATCCCAAATATTTAAGAACATTTCACCTATATCGGTCGTCTGTTTCAGTATTTCACCCAACCACTGTACCTCGTCCCACGTTTTATTTATTTTTTCTGTATAAAATTAGAGAAAGGAAGTTGGTATATATTTATTAAAATTAAGAAGCTAGCATATATGATACGATTGTCAAGAGAGCATTTTTATTATCCAACAAAGGAACATGTGGATTAAACATTTTTTTAATTTTTAATTGTTGATATAACTGAAAGAGATAAATGTTAACAGTTATATTTTACAGGTGCATTAACGATTTTTAAAGTTGATTCTAAAATATTCACTTATTATATTTGTTTACTATATAATTATATTCATTTTCTGTTGAATGAAAAAAACATCATCTTTAAATCTTAAATAAATTCCAGTATTTTCATTGGGTTCTCTAATAATGTACACTATGCTTATATGCTTACCAGCAATATGGAATTCTGAGCAATGCAAACATTGCTCGAGCAATTTGGTTCTGCCCAGGAAATTTATACGAATAGAAAAAAATAATTGTTAAACTTATAATAATATACTGTAAAATATTTTACTAATAATTTCTTATAATTTTATTATAATACAGAACAAATGATAAAATATCAGTATAATATTTCTTATTCATTATTTATATTATTCTATGTTGTATCTATTTTTTTCCATATCATATTGATAAAAATAATAGCTATGTCAACACAAACAGACAACAATATATGAATAATAATTTATATTTACGATTAAGCAGTCGAGTTTTCGTGCGTTTCAAGACACATTGTAAGTGGTAATTATTTATTTATATTCGAGGTTCAATTTGGCCGAGCAATGTGTACATTGTCCAATATTCCATATTACCCATAACATATTTAGATATATAGCATACATGCACAAAAGTTTATTGTACATTTATATAAAATTGAATAATAAACTATTAGTTTATTTATGTATATAATGTTTTTTATTTTGGTCAATTTTGATCATACGAGTATATGATGTTATATAAACTAACAATCAAAAGAAGCGTAAATGTAAGGTAATTTTAATTTAGTATGGATATTATTATATTTTTATATTTTTTACTATATTTTTAAGACTTTACCATTTAAAAAAAGCGTGAGTCACAAAGAGTTGCGTGAAATAAAGAAATGGGTGACCAATATAAGTGAATTGTTTTTAATTTAAAATTAACGTACATTTGGTTTCAAAAATGATTCTGAGCAAAAAAAGTCCACTCCATCAGAATTACTGACTCTACGTTACAATATAGTTTGAATACCAATAGAAGTATTAGTAAAAATTACATTTTTCAACCAACAAACATTATACATTATTAATTCAACAAACAAAAACTAATAAACAATTAGCCGTTATAGTTCTTATTTTAATAGATATTATAAGTAGAACGCGCCTATCCAGTTTTTGCTTCAAATTCCTGCAGTGTTTTATTTTTTTAGACCACAAAATAATGAATATTGATTAAACAAAAATCGGATGAATATCTAATTTCGTCAAATTTTAGTACTCTGACGTTACTAAAAAATATTTACGAATTATTTTTTTTATTTACTTCAAATAATAACTCGTAAAATATCTTGTATTTAGTAATCAAATAAAATAATTTAAATAAAATTAAAATATATCCTTAAAAATACAAAAATTAAAATAAATAAAAATAATAACAATATATAGAAGAGGTATGGCATATCAAAAAACACCCCGATAATTTTAGCGGATTACGTTAAAATGTAAAAATTAAATTTTATATGTATTATACAATAATAAAAAGATGAAAATCGTTTGCCTAATATTAAATTCAAGCCAAAATGAACTGAAAATTATATTTTTAAACCCATTTTCAATCAATCATTAAAACATTATTTGGTGTTAGAAATGAAATCGAATAATGGTTACTTCGACAAATTGTACATAATATAGATCAAAAAATAATAATCAGTTTATAATTTACATTTCAAATAATAAATCAAAATACTCAAGTTTTAAATAAAATAAAATTTTAACTCACTTGATATTCATAAGTCACAGTACAGTTAACTCGATTAAATGGCTGAGAAATAATTCGTCTAACATTATTTCAAACCTTTATTTAATTAGAACGATATCTAATATAAATTCAAGTTAAGTTTAGGTAATTACTAACAATTTTTATCATTTGGTACCTATAAGTACAGATAATTATTTAAAACATGTCGCATAATTATTTCATAGTGCTTGTAGCTAACAACTGCAAAAAATTTTTCACAATTGATTATAAATAAGGGATAAACATAACAATTGAATAAATATAAAATAATCACTTCATTCTTTTAACTATCTCAAATTAAAATGGTTCAGCATTCGAACGGTAAGAAAATAGATAAAACAATAAAATTAATAACTGACTTAATATGGTCCATAAAAATATTTTAAAAATTCCATTACATATTTTAATTTTTTTTTTAATCTTATATGAGATATAGTTATAACTTATTTTTTTGGATTATAGTTTGAATCTATTTTAATTTAATATTTTAAAGAGTGTTTTTACTTCTTTACTTATTATATTACATGAGTATCGTTGTTAAGTGCATATGAGAGTATATAAAATGTACATTATACATATATACTTATATATTAATATTATATATTATATAATAGGATTAATTTTGGTAAAGTGATTTGTCAATTCGTGTATAAGGAAGAAAGTTTGAATTTGTATTTATATCCGACGTTTAAAACTTCATGCATTATCGGTAAGCCTACTGGATTGATTATATTGTTTGATAAAATTTGTAATTTACTTTTTTTAAATCTATTAATTTTTTGAATCAAAGAATCTATACGGTGACAACTAAATAAATTATAAATACATTTTGAATAGCTTTCTTTTTTTTTTATCTACTTTTCAAATAGAAAAAGATTTATTCCTAGCAAGATCTTAAAAACATCAATAATTAGTAGTAGGGCTGGAATTTTAATGCTATAATAAATAACAAAAAATACTATAGGAAAAAATGTAAAAATGCTTTAAAAATCATAAAAAATGCATTCTAAAAATGCATAAAAAATGTATTTATTATAGTTAAAAATGATATTACAAAAATCATGATATTAAACATATTTAATTATACTTATTTAATATAATAATAACAAAATAGGTTCTTATTTGTTTAATATTTACATTTTATTTAACTTAATTTAAATTTCATTTATTTTATAACTTGCTGTTACGATTGCCGTTGGACTCTTGTAAATAAAAAAATGTCTTTCGACTAGGTGTATTAATTTTGTTGTATATTTAATAAAATAAGTAAATGCTCGAATTTATTAGTTTATCAGTTTAGTAAATTACACACTAAACGTGCAAGTTTTGAACGAACAAAGGACGAAATGCATAATCAAATACCTTAATATCTAAGAATGTATAGATAAATTCTGAAAAATGAACTAATAGACAGCAAAAAATGCTCCAAATGCATGTAAAATTAAATTTGTTAAATGCAAAAAAATTTTAAATAAAAACTACATTAAATTAATCAGTATCACTTGAAACACTTTTTTTTTCTTATGGTCCTATGTTTCGGGACATCAGAAAATGATACATATGCATCAAAATCCAAGTTCTAATTAGTTCAATTATGTTCTAATAAGTTCAATGTATTACTAATCATGTACCTAAATGGGTCCAATGCATGAACACAATCAGTTATTAGAACTCAACATTTTAATTATCTGTTGCTTAAGAATGTGTTTAAAACTAATTAACTTCAATAAACATGTTAATTGAAAATTTTCCACATTTAATTACAAAATATTAATATGAGTGAAAATTCTTATATAATTATACTAGAACGAATTCACGCAGTATAAATTAATTAGTTACTTGTGTAAAGAATTAAAATATATGATAAATTCAAAAAATATTCACTACATGTATTTTAAATACAAAATATTTAAAATATTTAAAATAATCTTAAAATAAAACAATACAATGATAATAACGATAAATTTCTTGGTCAAGGAATGTAACACTAATGAATTTAACGTGTATGTTCGTGCGCATATGCATGTGGCAGTGCACTTTTTTCATGAATATCAGGTCAAATAAAATAATTTTATATTAATTTTAAATAATTGTAAGCATAATTTTGAAATTTTGTAAATCCCCAGGGAACTCGGAAGACATATAACTCTTCCGAGCATTACATGACATCAATAGCGCCGAATAAAATTGAAACTGCTAATTAAAATAATTAGATTTACCCACCCCTACCCCTTCAATTTATTTCCCATTCAAATACCAAATTTTTTTTTAAATATCTTTAATAATTAAAGATGTTTTATAATATTTATTATTATATATACTATTTTAAATAGAAAATACATGTATATAAAAAATATTAAAAAAATGTATTAAATTTTTAGTTGATCATTGATCATTTTCAATTTTTTTTTAACATTCCGATTTTCTAGACGGTTCAATTGAACTATCAAGAGTACGTGTTCGGCGCCACTACACGACATTGACAAAATGTACGGGAAAATGAACATCTATAAGAATAAGTTGTGTAAATCGAAAATCATATTTTCGTTATTTAATTTTTACATCAGTCCATTTGTTGTTTCAATCATTTTTTTCTTAAGAAGTACATCCATATTTTCACTATAATTACAATAAAAATGTAAAAAAATGTATTTATTTTAATTGCGATTTTTAATAGATTTGGACATGATCAATAACAAACTAATGAAATTACTTCTACTAACTCATGAATAAATATATGATTGATAAATTAACTTAGACATACTGTACTGAAAACCACACATCATTGTTAATCATTAAAAATTAAACATGTTTATTCTATACTCATTTTTAAGCCATTTTGCAGATAGCACTGGTGCTATCCCGCGTCTGTTCTTTAGAAACTTCTCTTCCGTTATAAGCCCCAAAACATTTAATTTTTTTTTTCTATTTCGCAATTATATAAACATTTAAGCCATTATAATAAAATGTCAATAAGCATGAGATAATATTGAGAACAATTTCTAAAAATTGCATTTTTAGTCAAACTGAAATTTTTGGACTTTTTACAATTAAACATTCAGTAATCATTTTTTAAAATATAATTTTTTTCAAGCATCGTGTATGATCGAATTAATTTAGAATTTAAATCATTATTGATCTTTAATAATATAATTTTATATGAAAAAAAAATATAATACATTTTCTACAATAAACCAGTTAGGAAGACCCAATCTACGAAAGTCCATGTACCAATTACTAAACGTACTTTTAACTCTAAATTTTAATTCTTTATTACATTAAAAAATATTTTAGTAACATATGTATATGTATTTGAGTAAAAATTAAATGTCTTAATTTATATGTATATTTCTAATTTGGTGCCTATTTAGAAGTAACCAATGAACCGACGGGCAGAATAACCCAACAGGGATATAAAGCAGTGGCGTATATAGGTTTTCATTTAGGAGTGGGCCAATCATGTATTTGATTTTTGGGGGGGGGAAGGAGGAAGCACACTATTACGACAAATATTATTATAAATCTATAAGACTTTTTGACTGTCACCAACAGAGAAATAAGAAACTCAATTTTTTTAATGATTCATAATTTTGAAAAAATATAAAAACTACATTGTAATAAACAATTTTTTTAATAGTCACCCAATATTTACCACATATTTTTATAAGAAAATAAACATATTTTACAAATATAAAATTTTAAATTATCGCATAAGCAACATTCTTAGTGTCACGACAAATTTTCGAAATAAACTCCAGTTTTAAGATACATACAAGTCAAAAATAACAATTTTTAACAATGGTGTTATTCATTTTGTAGGGGGGGGGGGCGAAGCCTCTTCCCATAAATATGGCTCTAAATAAAGTGTTCTAAACTTTTGTTTGTAATTAGAAAATATTTTTTTATTTTATTGAATTCGTATTGTTGAGTGAAGTGACTTTTTTGCAACTTATATTGAGTTTGGATTTTGAGGATTTTGCGGAGATAATTTTTTTTAATATACTATGGAAAGCAGATACCTATATGCACATATTAATTTTTCAACCTCAATTTATTGTAACTTGAAGTTTTACTTTATTTTTTTACAGAAAATTATAGTTATCTTCAATTTGGGTTTAATGATCAAATGTGGTTTTTGTATTTATATAATATATAATAATTATAAATTTTATAACTCTGACAAAATAATTATGCCTAAATTAATTAAATAACTTATTAATATAACGGTGATTACTAACTATTCTTACTAACTGTTCTTTTAAATTCTCTATTTTTCTTACTTAACTTTACGCAATATGTATTATTTATTAGTGGTTACTTTGTTTTGTTCACTATTTCACTGTTTCTGTCTGTACTGTGTACCTGTTTGCATGCCCCAGTTCACAACTAACAAAGTGTATTGGTCCATCAGGTTTTTGCTTCTCCGGTTGTGATTTTAGTGAATATTTCATCTTATCAGTTAGTTATTTGGTCTATAATGTTCAAACACGGTCCTAACTTCAGCCACGACGCGGTACGTTTTATTACCTAATTCGACATCTTAATTTGTCTCAGCTGTACATTACATTGCCTATAGCTTAACCCGTACCAGTATTTGTGTCAGGTTGCATTTTTAAAATTACAAGGCACAACATTTGTCGGTCATGACCTCTCCTAGTACGCAGAATACCAAATCCGAGACCTCTCATCATTCTGGTATTATTACAAGATCATCATCAGCTGTTACCTCAAATTATGATTTAATACTAATACTCACGTCTTTTAAAGATTTTTCTGACTTCTAAGAATGCACTTTCTGACTCTTTTAATGAACTCAACACATTTATTTGTTGATGCACATTAACTTTATTTATTTACTTATATTCATAGACATTTTTTAAAAGTGGATACATATAAATATAAAAAAGTAATAAAAAATATTTATATTATAATAAAATGAATAACAAATAAATAAATGATCTTAAATATAAGAGTTTTAACATAAATATATATCTTTACAATGTTTAACACACAATAAATGATTTAAATAACTCACGATATCCGGGATGATAATAATCTTGATAGAATGATGATATCAATTCGTGTGGCATGATATAATAATAATAATTAGCGGTATACCACGAACGGCGGCACACACGTTGACAGCAATACAAACGGTGGTACACTAACGGTGGTGAACGGGTAGGTTAGGGTTAGGTTAGGGTAGGTAAACGGCTAACTTGAACGTGTGTTGGCCAAGCAGTCTAGCAGTACGGATTTCTCTGTACTCAGAACTCTGAACCTTCAAACTTCTAGTATACCGGTTGGAGTATGTATATTGAACTGTCTGAAATGTCGTCTTGTATTGACATATGAGGTTGATGTTCATATGCAAAATCTTGATTTCCCTTCTTTCTTAAATGATTTATTGTCCTGTTTTTAATTGTTCTTTTCGAAATACGCTATCTGTCGGTTAAAGTTATAGTATCCTATGTGTTGGTAGTGTGTAACGACTTTTGATCAATTATGTGTTGTACATCCCATAATGTCGGTGTAAACCTCTATCAGTAAGACCTGGGTATAATCATCACACTCTCAGATTTTTCAATTTCAATGTTTGAAGAACGAGTTAAAGAAATCAGTAGTACAGATTGATAACCTCAAAATAGTTAATTTTAAACTACTGTTAGATGTTGACGCTTTGAAGAAAAAAGTTTTAGTTCTTAAATC